AATCATCATATAATAAAAGGGACTCGTGCTCTATTGTTAGATATGCAATTGCTAAAAGTTTGTTTGGGAGATGCCCTTTTGATTGCTTGTTATTTAATGAATCTCAAGCCCTCTGCTATTTTAGGTGGAAAATGACCACACTATTCTCTTTCTGGATACTCCTTTGTTTACATGTCCTCCTCGAGTATTTGATTGCGTATGTTTTATCCAAGTTTTTAGTCTGGGTACTCATAATTTAAGATCCTTGAGCTATTGTGTACTTCTCAAATATTCTTATGCACAAAAAGGTTGCCAATGCTATCATCCTGGTTTGAGAAAGAACTGTGTATTTATCGGATATTCTCATACACAAAAAAGTTACTGATGCTATCATCATGGTTTGAGAAAGAATTTGGTTTTTGCTGTTGTCACTTTTTAAAAAAATACTCCGTATTTTTTTTATGAGGGTTGAGTGCTTGATGTTGATTTGTTTTATCCTCTTCAAGGGAAGATTTCACATGATAAAATAGATTTTCCTTCCTCTTCTTTAGTTCTTGTTCCTGTTCTTGTTGATGGCTCATTGTCACCACCTCAAGGGCCTCTCCTCTTCTTGTTATTGTGTAAGAGGAGTAGCCCCAAAAGGTATATATGAAAAGGAAAGTGAGCAATATATCCTTACCGCCAACTTAGCCATTTGATCAGTCTCTTCCTTTTTCTACAGATCCAATGCTAGTTTCTAATCCCACTTTTGTGCTTGATTATGGTGATCTTCCACTAGCCATTCGTAAAGGTCAAAGATCTTGTACAAAACATCCAATTGCTCATTTTTGTACATTTAGAAATTTGTCTTCCTATTGGAATTTTGCTTTGCCTTTTATTTCTATATCTAAGTCCTATTAAGAAGAAAAATATGTAACAAAGCTGTGTGGATCATTTATTAATAGGAAGCTCTTCCTTTATTGAAAGCCATTTATGGTCTAAAGCAGACCCCATGTGCATTGTTTGAGAAGTTCAGCGAAATTGCTATAGCATATGAGTTTTAACCAAGCCATGTGGATCATTTAGTATTTATTTGGAGATAACCCATGGGTACAATTGTCTTGGTAGTTTATGTTAATATATCAATTTAGAGAGCGATCATGGAGGAATTAATAAATTGAAGGGATATTTGCGACAATATATTCAAACGGCTTGACTTGTCGTCGTGGCATGTTGTTCATGCGCGTCGATGTCTCGGGTTCGAACATGCTTGACTGACGCTCTGGACGCCGTGTCGCCGCCTCTCTCTCTCTCTCAAAAAATATGTTTAGACAGAGGATTTAGGACAACTAAGGTATCTTCTTGGATTTGAAGTATGGTCCAAGTATGTTATTAGTCAGTCTCAAAGGCAATATGTAACATATTTATTGACAAAAACAGGTGCTAAACCAGTTGATATGCCTAAGTACTAAATTTTCCAGGAATCAAGGAGAGGTATTTGGAGATCCAGATAGGAACATAAGACTTGGAAGTAGACTTGTTTACCTAACAATCACTAGGCCGGACATAGTCTTTGCAGTGAGTGTAGCGAGCCAGTTCATGCATTATTCAAAGATACCACATTGGGAGGTTGTGAGGAGAATCTTGAGATATTTTAAGGGGTCTCTAGGATGCCGACTTAGCTGCAGGCAAAATGGCCATTTCAGCATCGAGAGCTATTCTGATGTCGCTTGGGCAGGATCTCCATCAAATAGAAGATCTACTACAGGTTATTCAACTTTTGTTGGAGGAAACTTGGTGATACTGAAGAGTAAGAAACAAAATACGGTAGCCTGGTCTAGCATATAGGTTGAATATAGAGCAGGGGCTCGTACTACATGTGAGTTATTGTGGCTGAAAACCTTGATACAAGAGATGGGATTCACAGTTATTGAGCCGATGAAGATGTTCTGTGACAATCAAATAGCCAGCCATATATCTAGCTAACCAATATTCTATTAGTGGGCAAAGCACATTGAAGGGGATTGTCATTTTATTCGGGAGAAAGTAGCAAGTAAGCAGATACCTACTCCATATGTGAAGTCAAAGGATCAGCTGGTTGATATATTCATCGAGGCTTTTGGTTGTAACTAAACTCAGATGATTTGTTCCAAGCTGAGCATGGGTGAAATTTATACTCCAGCTTGAGGGGAGTGTTGAGATTAGTTCTTTTAGTTATGCGTGATGTTTGTGGGCCAACATGACATTCTTTTCCTTTTTATATATAAAGAGAATTAGTGTAATAAATAAGAGTATCTGATATAATTTGTACATGATTTTTTTTATAATAAAATAGAGAGGGGCTTGGAGGCTATGAAACCCTACAGGACTGCCTCCAACCACCTCTCTCCATCTTACCTTCTCTCTCCAACTTTCTTTTACTCTCCCGAACTTTTCTCTCACTTCTTCTCATCTCTTTTCTTCCTCTTTGGTAATATACTTTTAGAGAATGTTTTCTTGCTATAACCTATCATCTCAAACTACCTATTAGTTAAAGAAATTAAGATCTTTCTTTGGCAATTTCTTGTGGAAAGACCTCTATCGATGTCTCCTTCCTCCCAAAATTACTGAATCTCCTAAAAAAACAGGTATGGGTCGCAAACAAAATCTTTCTTAAATAGAAACACTGGATTTTTTTAAAAATAAAAGACATAAGAAATCTTCTAGAATACACCCTATAAAATAGGAGGGTTAGGTGTCCATAAGAATCAACTTAATGTAAATTACCAATTTGGAAAGAGGGATGAGATCCTGCAAACCTAACCCACAACATACATTAACTCTCTCTCAATAGGTTTCTCCCATAAACTCTCTGTGTCCTTCGAAATGCCTTTTGAATGAATGACCCGTATCCTATCTTAATTGTGGGCTAATATGTGTGGAATAGATATTAGAAAACTTCTAACCTCAATCATCAATGATCAGTACGTGTCAAACATTTTGAATTCCTTAACGATTGTTGTTAGTAAATTCTATCTGATGGCTTACCTTGGCAAAGCATGAATTTGAAGCTGCTAAAGATATGTACATATAAAGCTCAGGAACTTTGCCCAAGTACGCACTGTGGGCATTCGATTCGTGTATTCACCCTTCTTGCTCAAACAAGCTCTAAAGGGCCTCATTGTTCCAATCGGTTATATAGATTCTTAGCATTTTATGATCTTCAAGAGATGCCCTGACTGCCCATGCACCTTCTATATAGTTCTCAAAGGTCAGAGGTAATGTTATCAGGATCGGACCGGTGCTTGAACTAGTGAAATGTCTATTCAAAACTAGTTCAACCGACTGTCAGACTAGTCGAACCTTTTTTTAAATACAAAAGAAATATAAATTTATTAAAATATTAATAAGTTCATTTAGAATTAGAAAAACATAAACTAATGAGAAATTAACAAAAATAAGAATCTATTTTTAAAACATTATTGTAAAAAATTATTGTAAAAAATTAACTCATTTTAATAATAAAATATTGCATTATTTAAAATTAGTAAATTACCATGATTAAACATTAGCAAATAGTTAAGCATTACATTTTATTTAATTAAACATTGTATTTTATTTAACTAATTTTTAAATTAAACATTAGTAAATAGTTACGCAATGCATATTATTTAATTAACCATTGGTATTTTGTTTAATTAATGGCAAGGTGAATATGGAAAGCTTTTCCTCTTTCCATTTTACATGGGCAAAGAACAAACATGTAGAGGTAGAGAGAGAGTACAATAAAAGGCAAGATTTTGACACATTCGACCTTTGTTTTTCAAAAAAAGGAAAGTAATATATAGCTTCTTTTTTATCACGATTTTTGGCAATAAAATGTTCCCATGCAATCTACATGAAAAAAATGGAAGAGAAGAATAAAGATCATGTAAAAATTTGGAAATGAATTTGAAAAAAATAGAATTTAAGCTCAACTTTCCAAACCGGATGGACCAATAGAACCAGCAAAACTTGTGATCGAACCGGTTCAATCGGTGAAATGCCAATTTTGATTGGTTCTATGTAATTCTTGGTTTAGTACTTACATCGAACCGGACAAGGTTCTGGCCGCCGGTTCTGCCGGTTGGACTGCCGGTACGGTCTGGTTTGAATAACTTTTGTTAGAGGAGAGTTTCCCTTGGGGCATGCGTCTTAAGTAGCACGTTCAATGTCTCAAGGTTCACATTCTAGTTATTTTAATATACTTAAAAAAATGATTCTTATGTGGGGATTTGTTCCTCTTAGTGGATTCTATGTCGGGCCTTTCTTTTCCTTCTTTCTTTTCTGTCAAAAAAAGAAGAAAAGAAAAAAAAAAAAAAAAAAAACTGCTCAAATGATTTTCTTGAAACTTAGACTACATGAATACCCCATTTGACACCCAATAGCTATTATCTTCTTTGAATAAGTATTTGGAACTTCTATCCCTAGTTTTCTGAAAAATTGGAGTAATTTGGTAAACTGTTAGGACATCATACGGAGGGGTTACTCCATATGTTCTAATTAGCAAAAATGGTATTCAATATGGTATTGTAAAATTGTGGGCCTATAAGGCCTGCCAATATGCCTATGAAATGCTTCTAATTTTAAGTTAGGGTGCGGTTTGTATAGAGCCGAGGCTCTAAACAATCAAAGTGGAGTTCTCCTTCAAATAGTATCGAGAAATGTGGTTTGAATATTGGAAATCTTTGTGAAAGCCTTAAAATATATTTTCATCTCAAATTATAAAATTAAATCTTTTAAAAATAGTGTAGATCGAGCAGATCTATGAAAACTTGAAAATCTTGAAAATTGATGGTCCAAAAATGCATTACAAGATGCACTATTTTCAAAAGTTGAAATCCATTTTTTTTTATGTTCATGCATCTTGATGTCAAGATGATCAATTTGAGGATACTTGGGCATCAAAACAACCTCTTCTAGTGAAATTTTTGAGGTAGGCTCTGATTTGATTGTTTTGAGCCTAAGCTGTATATAAACTTTTTCCTTGAAGTTATGCTGCTACTGAACCTATTTCACTACAGGCGAAGCGTAATTCTCGAGTGCCGGATCCTGCTATAGATAATACCAAATATCCTCATTACCTTATTCTCCTTTCTGATCTTTTTGTGGAGGCACGTGCTGCTCTTCGCCCAGGGATTACAAACTTGCCAGCAAGCCAGAATCAGATGAAGTTTGATTCCTCTTCGGTTCCTTCCACAGTTTCAGGGCCTCCTCCGGCTACAATGCCCTCAGGTTTTTTCTATTTCTAAATTTTCTTGGTAGGTTTTGAGACATGGCGCAAACATTTTTAATGACTTCGTAAGAGTTTCATTGGCTTCTCTTTCTGTGCATGAAATAAATTCCTAGTATTACCTTAGTGCATTTCTTCATGTTTTTGTAATCATGGTGTCTCTTCCCTTTCTTTGATTGCTTTAAATTTAGCTAGATGTTATACATTTTTCTTCCTTGCATTTAATAAATTATGCAATGCTTTTTTAATGTTATTTTGAAATTGAAATATAAAATAGGGCATTTGGAGTGTCAATTGTACTAAAACATGCAATAGATATAGATCAGAGGGAGTAACATCTCAGAACAATAGCGAAAGGACGTGGCTGTACCCAGGGCTTGGCATTTGCTACCATTGATGTGGTCTCATTCAGAGTCTCATTCAGCACTTCTCAAAAATTTAGACTAGTACTGGCGGAACTATCCAGTAGCTGGCCAGCTTATCTTTTGGAGAGATGAAAATCGTTTTGTTGTTCTACTTGTCTGAGACATTGGCATTTTTGTTTTCATGTACACATGCTACAATTTTAAAAAGCCGGTTTATACTAGGCTGGATTTGCTACAGAAAATATTACTGCATTCTATCTTTTCCATATCTTCATAGCCATATAGGATGACTTTGTTCCCTAGTTTGGAGAAGGGCTATGGTTTGTTGGCCCCAAATGAGCCATGGCATCAAAAATGTCTGGAGGGTTTGAACATTTAGAAAGTGGATTAGTAAAGTCACTACCATAAATTCTTCTTTTGGTCTTGTGCGTGATATAAGGAGAACCTTCACATGCTGAGAGGCCATAGTTTACTGGTATCACCACCCCCACCAAAGAAACGCCAAAAAAAAAAAAAAGAAACGAAAAGAAAGAAAAAAGAAAGTGGGGAGGGGGTGCTTCGAAATTGTTTTGGGGAGGGGGTGCTTCGAAATTTTGTTTGTGCTTTCTATGGATCTATTTGGGTGACAGCCCCTCCTACATAGTATTGCGAGCCCACTCAACATGGAATTATGAGCTTAATCAGATAATTATTGTATCACCATTCAAAAGAAAGTTTTTTTGAGAAGACGTATGCCAAAAAAATTAGCTTACAACTGAAAGTAGTATATCACTTACTAATTTGTATTTTCTGTAGAAATCTACCTTTTACCAGAAAAATTAACTTGAAAACCTCAATAAGGAAATTGGTACACCTTCCAAAACAGCAATAAAACAGTTACTTATTGAAAAAAATTTAATTAAATCTTAGAACTATTCCGTCATTCAAAATATCCTATTGATTTGAAAGGAAAATCTTCATCATTTGTATGGTTTGGTATATGTTTCTATTTGTTTGTGTGGGAATCTGCTTATTCCATTTTGTATTCCCTGCAAAGAGGGAATATACACAATGTTGTACACCTTTTACAACAGCGTTAGAAGAGGCACTTGTCCTGAGAAAATTAAATAAATCTGAAAGTTATATTGTTTTTAAGGTTATCCTATCAATTTAAAAGTTGCCTGAGAAAATTAAATAAATCTGAAAGTTACATTGTTTTTAAGATTATCCTATCGATTTGAAAATAAAATCTTCATCACTTGTATGGTTTGTCATATATTTCTATTTTTTAATTATGTATGACTTATATGAGGTAATCTTAACAAAGAAATATTTCATAGTATGACTTAGTTTCATATGGCGTAGTGTTAACAAGGAATTATTTCATAGAAACATTGCTTCATTATATTAAACTCCCTATAAATTTCCTATATATACATGACAAAAGTATCCATTCAATAATCCCTTGATAATTCCTAGCTTTTAACAATAATTGTTACTAAGATTGTGAGTTATGAGAAAAATGAGAGAAGGTACTATGGTTACAGGTTTCCATTTAAAATGTTTTCTTTTATGGAAACACACATGTTTATTTTCTAAACTTGACAATATTAGAGAATAAAATTAAGTCTTACAAGAAATTTGTCACTTATCTAAAAAGTAGCTATTTGATTTGAACACAGCGTATGCATAATTTGACGTGGGTCATAAAGGATAGGGGTCTCAGAGACCCGAGCTGAGTCAATTTTTGAAATGGTCAAGCTTAATATGCATACTTGGAGGAGCAGCTTGAGCTTGACTCGAGCTAGAACCATCCAGCTTGGTTAATTGGAGATAAGCCTGAGCTCAGCTTGACCTGTTTTTATTTTTTACTTTGCCCGTAAGCTGGCCAAGTTAAGCCATAAAGAAGCCGAGCACAAGTTTAGTTTGATTATGCATGAATAAGTATCATTTGGATTCATGTATATGATATATTAATGCATATTCTTAGTTTTAAATATAATATATTTAACAAAATAAATCAAAGTTCGACTCTGCTGGGGCTTGCATGATTAATATACAAGCTGTCAGGCTCGGGTTGGCTTTTCAAGCTGTAAGATATTGCTCAGGCTTGGCTCCTTAAAAGCCGAGCCAAACCGTATTCTGAGCTGGCTGTCATGTTGACACCCGTAACATTGGATATGTAAATAGCCTCCAAAAGAAGCAAGACATCAATTTTTTGGAAAGAAATTCATGAGTTGTCTAAAAGTAGCTGTGAGATCATAAATAAGCCTCAAAAGCAAGGGTCGTAATTAGTAATGGCAATGTGCCTCTTGGCCAGCCTGACCCGACTTAGAGAAGGCTTATAGGCCTGCAGGCTGGGCTTGGGCATAGAATATCATGGCACTGCTTATTTGGCCGAGCGAGCCTAGAACTTTAGGCCCATTAGGTCCTTAAGTAGTAATTTTATGTTCTAAAATACATTATATGGTCAATTTGGGCTTGGGCTTGGTCTTGGCTGGTTAAGCTGTTGCAAAATGCAACACTATGTCCGAAGTTCGATTCCTAGAATTGCTACACCAAAAAGAAATAAAAGAAATTGATTTTCTTTTTCAAAATGAAAGCATTTACAGTTGGCTGGGTTGGGTCCAGACCAAACAGCGTGGTGATGGGCCAGGCTCGGCTCCAGTCCCTTGAGCGCCTAGCCCCTAGGCTGCCAAGCTGGGCTTTTAGGCTAAATAGTGTAGGCTCAGCGCATTGCTACCCCTAGTCATAATGGATAAATAAGTTGCCTTAAAAAAGGAAGACATCCGCTGGGTATTTTTATTTTATCCTATTGTTCTGATGTATTTAATCTATGATTGCTTCTAGACTAGGGAGCTTGTGGCGAGTGACAATTTCCCACTATTGCTACTGCTCCCAACAAGAGAGAGACTGCTGTTGTCAAATGACTACACTTATAGATGGCAAATCTGTACCTTGATTGAGGAGAGATTGATGACTTAGTGCACTTGGGAATACAATTTCAAGATGTATCCAAAAGTTTGTTAGGTATATGTTTGAAGTATTGTAAGGTTTGGTTGGGTTTGGTTTTGATATTTGAGGGAGTAGAAACCAAAAAGTAATTGTAAGAGAAACTTCTAGATAGTCACAAGAGTATTCATGTGAAGATCCTACATATCTTGTGGAATACAAATCCAATTTATGAGTCACAATGTTGCATGCTTAATTACAAACATTGTTATTGAGATACCATCTGCAGGGTTATTTTTATTTGGTATTTATCTGTACTCTTCGGGAATGCTCTTTAAGGGAAAAATCATTTAAGATGATTTCTTCAAGTATGATAGATGATTTCTAACATTTCAAATCCAAATAGCCCCATCCCACATGATTTTGGCAGCATATCTCGAAGGGGCAACTAGCAATGTTGCCCCTCTGCCAAAACCACTTGTTTTAAGACAATGAACTCCTACGAATTATGTGTCTTTTAAACAATATTTAAGCACCCAACAGGGGTGTTTTAAATAATAGCATTCCATGGCATTTTTTTTTGTTGAAAGAACCATGGGCAATTCAATTACCGGCATTGAGTAATATGTGAACTTAGAGTATTTTAACTGCCTGTATTACATTATGTGAATTTAACATAACTAAGAATAACCAAGTTTGTGAAATGCAGGTATTTATAATCACTAATGTCAATTCAATGTGAATTATTATGACACCAATAAAAACTAATTTGGAAACCTTTTCTTTGGTTTCAGATTTATAAGGAGCCCTAACTTAAAAAGTACCATGAATTGCTGAATCTCTTTTATATCGTCTGCTGAATATTTGCCTGAGCTAGTTGCTCTGTTGTTGAAGAATACCAATGTCATTATACTGTCATTTTATATTCTTTCATCTTTTATATCCCTCTTATTTTACATAGATCCTCTATATTTGGAAATTCAATTTAGGGTTTCACATTTAGTTAAAAAATTATGTTTATAAATTTCTTTCTTGCTATTTTGATTAATTATACCTCAATTTTGAATTATATTCTTCAATACAAAATCCTCTTTAAATTTTTGAAAATCCTGTTGTTTGACCCTCCTGGTCCACATGCTGAGTCACTGTTCACTTGACCTGTAGCTGTTCGAGTCTGTGTCTGTCGCATTTCGACATTATGTTTTGTATTTAAAATATTGTCTAGGGATATTTTTTGGGCTGAGTTATTATGCATTTACTATTTTATCATTCATGGATTTAAGTTAACTTTCAGTCTTTTGAAACAATTATGCATGAACAGCATGGCCTTATTTCCCATTGTTATTGTATTTGTTCTTGTCCCTGTGATTAAATTAATGTCTTAGTAGATTTCATCAAAATCAAATCAGAGCTTTAAGGCAATCGAATAAATCTTTTATGATTGATAATGGTTTTTAGTAATGTTGAATCACATGGACCCTGGGCACAGATGGTATTCTGCTGCGACGGGGGACAAATGCATAATTGAATTGTTTAGTTCCAAAGTATGATATTGGTTTGTTATCTATGGTATACTTGGTTTAGATGCATGCAATTGGTTATGCACTAGTTGTTATTCTTTTGATGACTTTTATCTTTTATTGGTGTGCTTACATCTTTTATTTGGTTTTTCAGCAAACGTATCAATGATGAATCGGCAACCAATGCCGGGAAGTGCTGTTCCTATTGCAACTGTGAAAGTTGTAAGTTACTAAAAAATTTCATTTCTTCATGATGAAGTGTCGAAGACTGAAATCGTTTTTCGTTTCCCTCTTCTCTGTACCCCATATACGTACTCTGGAAACAGTGTAGAACATAGTCAGGAACACCTGCTTATGATTTGCAGGTGCCAGATGAAACTGTGTTATTAGCAGGCCTGAGACTGGTCAATGTATCATTCAGCCCTCACCTCTACAGTACTTGAAATAAATTTAGCCTCACCTCTACTGTACTTGAAATAACTGCCTGGTTCTTTCTTTCCTTTTTTTCTTAAATATAATCCAAACACTGGACTGGATGTAGAAAGGTAAAATGCGTTGATGACTGTGCTTTACCCCAAGGCTGGCATTTAAAGTTTCAGGCTATACTCTTTTTTATAGAAAATTTCAGTTGCTATTTTAAGTAACTGATGGGGGCTTGGCTCTTCCAGGCACCTGCTGATAATTATGTATTTTGGGGCATCTGCATATCATATGCAGTACTACAAATGCCATTGTCTCTCTATTATATTTTTCCTAATTCTGATATTGTAAAATTTAAATTTTTTATTTTGTTGTTTCATGACAACTGGGGTTTCAAGAATTGAGGGTGTCCTCCAAACTTCTCTCTGTCCAGAAGGAGGTTAATGTAATTTGGATTTCTTTTCTTTACATATACTCCCATTAATTATGTGTCACTCTTTTAACTTTTCAGGAGGCTACAACAGTGACTCCTATGTCATCAATGTCTGGCAGTTCCCATCTCTCATCGTCAATCTTGCATGGGACTTCTCCCAATGTTCCAAGTATACAAACCTCTTCACCACCTACAACTTCTCAAGAGATGATTGGAAATGTCGATGCTCAAGAGTTTAAACCCGTGCTGACTAGTGGTACTACACAATCGCTGAGGCCTGTGAGTTCAGCTACTGCTAATGTTAGCATTCTTAACAATCTCTCTCAAGCGCGTCAGGTGATGGGCAATGCATCGTTAACTGGAGCAAGCAACATAGGCCTCCAGGCAATGGGTGGAGCACCCATGCCCATGCACATGTCTAACATGATTTCTACTGGCATGGCATCAACTGGGGTTCCTCCTGCTCAAACTGTTTTCTCATCCGCTCAATCGAGCATTACATCAGTGGTTGGGTCTCAATCATTAGTTGGAACGACACAGGTTGGGCAAAACACTGCAGTCGGAAACCCAAACTTAACTGGGAACTCTAATTATACATCTGCAGCTTCTAATTTGACTGGAAACCCTAATTTATCTGGGAACCCTAGCCATAGTGTCTCTCCTCCAGTGGGTAATCTTCAAGGGGTTGTTGGTATGGGGCAGTCGATTCCTCCTGGTATGGGCCAAGGGAATTTAAGTTCAGGAACACAAATGGGTCAACAAACTGGTGGGCTGGGTATCAACCACAATATGCTAAATAGTTTGGGACAAGCAGGTATGCCTTCAGGCATGGGCACAATGATTCCTACACCCGGTATGACTCAGCAAGTCCAGGCAGGAGGATTGCAGCCCATTGGCATGAACAGTGGTTCTGCTAATAATATGCAGATTCCACAGCTTGCATCTGCTTCTCAGCAACCAGGACAAATGAGATATATAAAAATGTGGGAGGTAAGGATCTTGGATCTGGTCTTTTCTATTGCTTGATGTTGGATATTTCACTGATGCCAGTTTAAGAACTTGTGAGGTTCTTGCCCATTAATTTAAAAAAAAGAAAAGAATTTAGGGTTCTTAAAGTTTTATGCGCGAGGAGAATATTAGGTTGCATTGGTAGAAATTTATGGAAAGGGAAATTACTCTTTGATTCAATGTGCTATGGAAAACTTTATTTGAGGTCCTGACCACATAATGAAATGACAGACGATAGTGGAAAGAGGGTGCCACTGACCAGAACTGGACATGACCCAATGTCGGTTTCCTCTCTCTACATCATCGTTCGTTTCATTTTATGGTGATGTCAACGACCATTGACCATTGTTTCCATTTTCCGTTTTACTTGATGGAAAACATTTGAATTGATTTGGAAATATTCTTCGAGTTGCAGATCTTTCAGAGTTTCAAACATGAGATGTATCCCGAATTTGTTATTAAGATGGGACCAGACTGGCCGGTCTGAGTGTTTGGATCAGGAATGGGGCTAGAACTGGTTCAGTCTGATCACTGATCTGGCAATTGATCACAACCAGTTTGATCTGAGTTCAACTAGAAGTTGTTGAACTGGTTGAACTGGCCTGTTAAAACCAGTTTTGACCATTTTGACTGGCGTTGACCAGGTTTTTTACTTTTATTTTTAGTTATATTTTCAGATCCTGTCTGGCCGGTGAATCGGTGACTCTAATCGGTTTGGATCGTACCACTGCCCTCCAAGGTTTGATGACTGGTCTGGCCCTGATTATAGGATAGCAGCATAAGCCATAAGAAATATAACATCTTGTGCAAATATTAATTTTCTTCCATCATAGTAGTTTTGGGTAACAGTGTTGGTCGTGTGAGAACTATTTGGCTTAGTCTTATACCAAGATTCTTTGAAGAGAAAAAAATTGCAATCCTCACACAATCTAGATGAAGTTCACCATTTTCCATCCTGAACATCCCTATAGCTTCTGATCAATCTTTGTTGACATCCATGATATGTAATTGTATTTTTTACTGATGTATTTTGTTGCATTGCTTGTATTTGTTCTCCTATTTTCGTTGTTGATGCATTGGTGCCAAAACACTCCTCTCTACTTTATTTCCTAAGCAGTAAAACTACAATATTTGACTTGGAATGTGTAGTTCACGTTTCACCATAAGGGATATGTCATTGTTGCTTTTCTTCTGTATTTCTTTAACTTATATTCTTTTCACTATAAAGTTCTGAACTGCATTTCAGTTTGGCCCCTACTTGATTTGTATCTGTATTTTTGCCTGGAGGGTTTTTATCGTAATTTCACAATAATGTATAATGTTTTCATAAAATGTGTTAGGATTAGACACAATTTTTCTCTGTTCTATAAAGCTACATGCATCTAATGGCATTAAGGTGAAAAAACATGAAACTTTACAAGGGCTGCATTGTCTATATTATATGTCACTTATTGCCCATATTTAAGAATTTGCCCTTTTTGTGGTTTTGTCAATATCGATTTACACATTTCCTTTTACTTTTTTGTATCTTGTCCAAATTAATTCATATTCTTTGGACTTGAGGTTCTTCTCTTTCGACAGATTATCTGTGAACTTGTACTTTTCAACTCCTGTTTTTGTGTTTGAAATTTATGTTTGACTTCATGCATTGCTTTCTGCTCGCAGGGATCCTTATCAGGGCAGAGGCAAGGGCAAGCTGTGTTTATTTGTAAACTAGAGGTCAGTTCTAAAGATACATAGACATTAGTTTTGCTTTATTGTGTTCATTACATGTATTTAATATTTTCAATGGTTTGTTAGATTTAGCAATTCACACATTTCATCACATTTCCAATCGTCGAGTCGACATCCCTAATACTTATAACTTATAAGAAGGGGCCGGTTTTTGCCTGAGTGCCATTGTTTGCCCAGGTCTTCATTATAGAATTCTCACACACTTGATATTGTCAGTTTTGCTTCAGTGCTTGTTTTGATTTGGCAAACAAAGCGAAGGCTTCAGCTGAAAAAGCTTATGGTTTTTATTAGATAATCAAAGAAATATGAAAAACTTATTTAAAGAAGTATGCATGAATTTGTGTGAATGATGCACTCAAAGAAAGTCATTCAGTAATCGGTGTGAGTTATATTATGATCCATTTTCCTAATAGGCTCTAATTTGTGGAAACGAAAATTGGTGCATATCCTTTGACCAGTAATGTAGGTTAGCATTTTTGGTTTCGGGGACACTTCAAGGTTCAAATCCTTGAATTTCCTCATGTAGATCACATATTTATCTATAGAAAAAAGATGAAACCGATGCATGTATTTCAGTGGCACTACAATGTTGAAATCTTAGATTCCTTCTCATTCATGAATGCACCTTTATTAGCTGATTTATCACGCGTTTTTCTTCATAAGATCGTGAACCACATAACTAATAGTATCCTATGTGAAGGAGGAAATCTTCATAACCATATTAGGGATTCTATAGATTGGAATTCAAATAGTCACCTGTGAAGTAATTAAGGGTATCAACTGGCCAGGCCTGGGCTGGCTCCTAGTACACTAGAGGGTAGGCTTTGGCAGGTCCCAGTTCGCACTGGGCCAAAGGTACCCTAGCCTCAGCCTAACCCTACTCTTGGGCCAAACCCTACTCTTGGGCCAGGTGGCCAAACCCGACCTTGTTAAATAGATGGACCTATGATGTAGAAAGGAGCCCAGGAAATTAAATCCGGTATTCTTTTGATCTTATGACACATGCTAATTGACAACAAAAATGATGAAAATATGGCTGTAAATTAATTTAAGAGAAGATACACGTTTACGTCTTTCATAAAAAAAACTCTTAGCAAAGGAAGAAAATATCCAGTCTCTTCATAAGGGCGATCTCTCACTTTAAATGCAAACATAACTAAAAAGCCCAAAAGTCTCTCTCTCTAAATCACTTGATTTCCCATTAATCTAGTACATAATCCTTTAATATCACACTTCCCTTCTTTATTCATGCACCCTCACGTGAAACTGTAATCCAAATAAGACTCCTTGTGATCTACTCTCCAAAAAAGGAAACAAATTAACAAAATCTAAAAGCTTAAGTTAATCCCAATAAATAAAAAATTCGAAAACCCTGCCCATAGGCCATAACAACTACGCAACCTTGAAATTAAAAAAAAAAAAACCCCTAAATTCAACTTTCCTCTTGAAATTTATTTGCTCATACTCCCCTGTTGGAGAAAACTCGTCCTGGAGTTTTGACATGGGCTAATATGAATTCTCTGCTAAACCCGCAATATTCTTGAACCCCAACGTTGTAGATTGACATTGAGGCTTGATCACGGGAACTGTTGGTTATTGGCCCAATCAAAATATCTTCAAAAAATGAGATCTTTGTACTCTTCCCAGCTAACATCTTTATCGTTTACCTCTTCACTATTACCATCAACATCGTTTTGATTACTACTTCCTTTGGGGGCTAAGAAACCAATTATTCCCATTATGTTGGGAATAATTTCATCGCTCTCACCCAGCTCTTTATCAAAAATAGGGATCACTATCACAGATAGCTTCACTATTAAAGATAGGACCATCTTTTGATTCAAAGAGTATTGAATCCAATTGAAGATTGGATCCTTTTGTTCTTCTTCAAAATTATGCTGCCATCGATGCATCGTGAATCGAACCCATCTATGTAGTTTGATATGTCATCAGTCGACTCATGCTCCGATATATGCTAATCTCTCTGATGCAAATCAATCAAGAGGAAAGCTGAATTTAAGGTTTTTATTTTTATTTTTTAATTTTGGTCTAAGAAGGGTGAGGACCTTAAAATATCCCTTAACCCGTCCTATGCCCGAGCATAGGAGGTGAGTTGAGTTAAGTTATCAACCAACATAAAACTTTGCCACATCTTGTCATGAATCCTAAATCTAAAGAAGAATGGATGAACATGATTCATGTAGCTGACCCCAATTAATTAGGTTAAGGCTTGAATGATGATGATTTTTATTTTTAATGTTAATTTCAAGGATGAAAGGATTTTCTTAAATGTTATGGGTGGAGTGTTTAGATTAACTTGACTTTTTAGATTTTGTTAATGGGTTTCCTTTTTCTAGGGATTGGATCACGTCGTGTCCTATTTGGATCGGGGTTTTGATGAAGAAAATAGAAAATTAAACTAATCCCAAGCAAAGCACTAGCACCAATTAAAGCGAACCAGGGTTTCCTCCTTTAAACCCTAACCAGAGAGCAAAAGCTTCCTTGACCTTTTCCCTCTTTCCAAAGTCACATCAATCCCGCTTAGATGTCTACACTCCTCTTTTATAACATAATTGCGGTAAAAGGTCTATAATGCCCTTCAGCAAATGAAGATCAAGTAGTCTTAATTTGAAACATAAGCACTCTAACTAGTTTTCTAAACAACTCCTAAAATCCTAAAATATTAACAAATCCTAGAATGCCTTAGAAACTTAAAAACTGTAAAATTACACCCTAAGATTAAAATTAAATATGCATTCTTTGAAATTAAACAAAATTTAAAAATAAGAGTAATTTTGTCCTGCATCAGATTCCCTTGGTGAGAGAAAATTCATCCTCGAGTTTTTAAGTGTGCTAAGATGAATCCGGCATCACAATCACCTTATTCAACCGTCTTCTTCTTTATTGGCTCAAAGATTATTTGCTGTAAGAAGAAATCCTCAAGAAATGGATCCTGATATGTGTATTGAGATATCAATATGAATTTATACAAATTCGGCTATCCCTGAACTTGCATTGAAAAATATGTAGGAAACTTAAAACTCAAATTTCTGGCCTTTAGAGACTTTCATTACTTATTGAATCTAGGGCCACAATTTGCAGTCTATGAGTCGACCACGCTTTTGAAGTGCTACTTTGATTTCGATGCCTTAATTCTCTTGAATGTTCCACCTCATCAATTCCTTGAGATTTTTAGTTCCCTTACTGCCTCCTCTCCATATTTTTAAAGTACGATATCCTATTTTGAAAATATCTTCATCTTCATTTTGAACCTTATCGTGAATCGAATCTCCTAAGAGGTTTTGTTGTTCATCTGAGCATGTATTGAATGTTGGTGGCGAATACCAATTATTGACATGTTGATTTTGGAACAACTTGATGAAAATAAAGATTCTCCATGGTCGGCCTCCTCAGTAATATGAACCAAATTGTACTCACAAGGAGTGAGATTACAGTTCCCCTAGATGTGAGTTAAATTATTCTTGTCAAAGTCTTGAATATCCACCTTCAAATCAAAAACCCTAGAGTGATGTCCCCCACATCGAGGTCTTTTATCACTTTCCTCTACACTCGGCTCCTCAAGCATAGCACATTGATAAAACGGTTGTACTCCACATCTTCTTGGGTGGAAAGATTACCGTCTTTCCCACGAGTGATGTCGGCAATGCAAGCTGCTTAACTTGCCTCTTGAGATCTTCAATTTCTTCATCTTTGGCATCACATGGTAGATCTACGAGAGCTCCCCTTCCACGACCCCTTCTTGCTGCTATAAGTTCAACAAAATCACAAACCTTAGGTAGAAAATCAGCAAACCCTAGCTGAAATCAGTAAGTTGCAGAGTGAATGAAGTCCACATGAAGGTGTGAATGTAGGAGAAAGGAGGGAAGTGATATTAAAGGATTAGGAAGTGTGTGAGGGATAAGGGAAAGTCTTAGATTAATGGGAAATCCCGTGATTGAGAGAGAGAGAGAGAGAAAGAGAGAAAATTTTGGGTTTTTTGTGTTTATTTAAGGTAAGAGATACCCCTTATGAAGAGATTGGGTATTTTTTTGGTGGATTTTTTTATGAAAGAAGAAAGTGTTTCTTCTCTGGCTTGATTAACATCCATACTTTCCTTCTTTTTGTTGTTGATTATTATGTGTTCTAAAATTGAAAGAAGGTCGTATTTTATTTCCTAGGCTCCTTTCTACATCAATTGGCATCAAAGTATGGTTAGAAACGGCGATGGCTGGTCGTGTAGGTCTTGGCCGTAGGAATGCCTTTCTGATCCAAATGTGTAAGAAAATCAACAACTTGATAGAGATCGAAATAGCGTTCCCCAAACAAAGAGTGATCTAGGGGTACTTGGAAGTTTTTATTGTGATTGGCGTGAGTTGGAAATTGAATCTGAGTTGGAGCAGATAGATGACATGTCAAACTACATGGATGGGTTCGATGCGCGAATGGCTTTGATGGGTGCATGATTTTGAAGAACAAAAATGATCCAATCTTCAATTGGATTCAATGTTCTTTGAATCAGTGGATAGTCCTATATTTGATAGTGCTCGATCCTATTCAATATTTAAGCCTTTTATGGGTAAATTTGTGCTGGTCTACTTTGATGATATTATAGTTTAGAACATTGGTGAGCAGGCACATTTGGAGCACTTGCAGTTGGTGTTTGACTTATTATGGGGACAACAACTATATGTGAATCTTAAGAAGTGTGAATTCATGGCAAACAACTCAATTTTTCATTGTTATGTTTTCGTAGCTGAGGGCATTGGAATTGACCCAAGGAAGGTAGCAGATATTTGGGATTGGCTTATTCCCATAGTGCATAATGCAGTTTTTATGGGTTCGCTACTTTCTACAAGAGGTTTATAGGGGCTTCAGTTCGATCATAGCACCTATCACAAATAATCTAAAGAAGGGAGCATTTGTGTGGACTAATGGGGCTAAGAAGCGTTTCTAGTTGGTGAAGCAGAAGATGACTGAGGCGCTTG